TAAGTATAATTCAACCGAAAATCCAATAAAAAAAATATATTATTTGAAAAAAAAAAAGAATAATAAAAAAATAATCGTTTTATTTCGATTACGTTGTTTTCGTAATCGTTGCAAGCCATAATCGTAATTGCGATTAAAATACGATTAATTGAGCAGCCCTAATAGACATGACGAGTTGTATTGGTCCTCTCAACTAACTCTCAGCAAGGAAGAAACATAGTGTATTTCCCAAAATGTCAAACTATACTTTTTAACTGTCTAATAGATTTAGGAGCGGATATGCAGTAATAATAACACTAACGTTTTGACCCGAAGAATGTCTTCTCTTTCCTTGTGAGTGCTGTTCCATGGATAAAAGCCCAGGAGAAACTTCCATACCTCCTTCCTCAGGGTCGGTGTGACACCCTGCAATGGACAACATGGTATGAAACATGCACATCTGATAGAGGGTTATAACAAGTAAACAAGGTATGTCTTCCACATTAGAGATGACTCTCGCTGTATTTCCTGTCTCACCCCTCTGAATATTATCTCTTTGATCTTCTCTGGGTTCTTCACTTGCCCCTCTGGGTCCAGAAACTCCTCCCATTTGTCCAGCGGTCGTCCCCTGGTAACGTCTGGTCTGGGACCGAGCTCCACCCCCTAATGGAAGGAAAGACACCAAAATAAAGAACCAATATAGATTCTCATGTCACTGTCATCTTTACATATTATTAGACCTGAATGTGTCATCCAAATTGTTCTTTTTGGTTCCTTCTCTTACACAGTTGATGAGCTCAAAGCCGGGCTCTTCGTCAGACTGTGGGGGGAAACTGGGATCATGGGCAGCGCGGGAATGGGTGGCTGGCCCTGGAGGTCGTAGTGCAACCTTGAAGAAATTTGTGACTTTGGAGAATCCACCAAATGTAGTGGCATATGGGTCCTGAATGAATCTCTGTTCAATTGGAGAGAGAAGAGAATCACAAACAAGCACACAAATGTGTTTTACTTTGAACTGTAACACGCTGGATAACATTTGTCTACTCCCACTGAGTCATGTGCTATGTCACTGGTCATGCTTCATTATGTCACTCAACGTTGTCCCTATACATTTGTGCTTAACTAATCATGTAGGCATTACATGCACTTCTATAGTTCCTTCCAGTATACTTCTGTTATCAGTTCAACTATAATATAAATTGTGTATACCTCTTTTATTTATTCTTATTTAATATTTCTACTTCTCAATTTATCTTGACTTATTTCTGTCTTTGAGCTGGTGTAACAATTGAATTCCCCATCTGGGGATCAATAAAGGCTTATCTTAAAGAGTAGGACTATGATCGGTGAGTCATTAGGATTGATCAACAAGCCAATAATATAGGTTTTAGGATCAAGGGAAACTAAAGCAAAATACCGAAACAAGATCAGAGCCATCGTCGAAAAGCTGCAGCTTATCGAAGGACTGAGAGAGAGCGCCGGGGTCATGAGGGTAGGCAAGGAAGAGCCTCCCGTCCACCGGTGACCTGATGATAACAACAGAGACCATGTGATGTTTTTCATACTCGTGTGATTTGTCAACAGCTCTGTCATAAACTGTAAATCTACTGTATTCAGAAGTGGTATGAGATTATTTCTAACTTGTTTACAGGTCAGTAACTGCTGCTAGAGGTCAAAGATGGTACTTACTGGTCGAGGATGATGTAACGGTTCATGGCTCTAAACAGCTCCCTGGTTCCTCCTCTGTGGAAGTGCAGGGGAGGAAGTGGGTGGCCCCCTCTACTAGTCAACACCAAGAAGTTTCTCCCCAAGGAGAACCGAGCCCTCCGCAGAGAGTATAACTCTGACAGAGGCAGAGAGAATGACCATGGACCTGCAGACAAAATAGGCACCGTTAGTTTCTTCTTCTTTAAAGTAACTGTTTGCCTGAAGTGACAGAAGTGATAACTGCACCTGAGTCTCTGACTGGGACGTGTTCCCGATCTTTCTTCACTGTGCTGATGACTGCCCAGTCTGGCTCATAACCAGGGTCATAGTTTGCATCTTCCTCCTCTCCGTCTCCATCCTATTCAGTAAGAAGTGGGTTAAAAAAACAAAACTCATATCGTTTGTATGTATATCAAACAGATGATTACTGACCTTTTTGGTGTAGAGTACAGCAGGGGCACTGCGACCCTCATCTTCAAGGGGGCTCCACTCTAAAGCTGGAACACCGGCCTAAAAAAAACATGCGTTGTTGATAATCCCACTGCTTTTTTTTTCAATTTCCGTCTTTGTATCTTTACACATGTTGCTTACCCTCTCCACAATACGGATGAACCCTGGGATGGTGGTGTCCTGGTTACTTCTCTTGGCATTTGTGTGGAGGTATACTCCCTCTTTTTCAAATATAAGCTGAGAAGAAAGAAAAAGCCCACATAAATATAAATGCAGCCATATCAATAACAAAGCTGAAATAAAATGACGGCTCATGTTGGGTTTCCAGTCACAGGAACAGGTTTGGTCAATGCTAATTTTAATCTAGTAATCTGTTTTTACACATGATTGTATTGTCAAATAAAAAAATGTTTTTACGCTAGGCTACTGCTTGAACTGAACGTTATGTACCACATCAAATATCTAACCTGTTAACCTGATTTCATTAGGGTTAATGAAATCATAGAACATAGATCTTGTCTGTCACGTGATTACAGGTCTGTCAGGTCAGTAGGTGAAGACGAGACAAACACATAGGAGGAAGACGTTATACTGATACAGAATAGACTGTATTTTTATATTTTTCCCGTCTGTATAACTATAGATAAGGCTGTATGGTTGCTACAAAAAAGAGTCCGACATTTGATATCCATTCAGATGATAAAACGTAGCTGACAGTGTGCGGATTGACTTCATCGAGCGTTAGTGAAAACACACAGCTAGCTTGATGTATAAACAATAAGCTAACAATGACGGCCAGCTCGAGTAGTTTCACCCAACATTTCACAGTCGAGTTGAAGGAAAATTGTCAGCATTCACAAACTATAATACTATGTGAAATATTGTAGAAATACCTTGTAATCCTCAATGTTTTGCTCCATTTTCCTTCACCTCTGCCTCGACTTCGTTTTCCAAAATAAATGTTACGTCACACTTCCTACTAGCGAGAAGCCCCGCCCCTTAAAGAGACGTCATCACATGAGCTGAAAATGGACTACTGCTTTTGTTTGTGTCTTTTTTTTATATAGTATAATAAAAGACAATGCAAGTCATTTTATGTCAAATAGTGATACTTGTTCTTTGTAGTTTTGCTGAACCATTTTTATAAAGAATATATTTTGCAGTTAAAATTACTGCATTCAAAACCGTACTCATACTCATGTACAAAAGTAATGTCATAGTATTATATGTATAGTCAAGTACTTAAGGTAAACATTTTTATTTCAGAATAGTATTAAGGCTATTGTATAATAATTGTTGTTAGGTTATTGTATAATAATTGTTGAGACATTAATGTGTTAATTACTTGATGTTGCAAATGGTAAACATTTAGTTAATTTTACTTTATTTTTTACACACACACGGTCTAGGCATTTGCCTTGTTGTTTTGCAGTTTTGGCAAATTACAATAAACAGATCAATATAAACACATCTATAACTATGTCATCCTGGTTGTTTAAACTGTATTTTATTATATTGTAGATTTAGATTTGTCATTGCATTTCTTCTGGTCCTAGGAAAGGGATCCCTACTCACTTGCCCTTCATAAGGTTTTTCCCATTATCCCAATATAAGGTTTTTACTTATCCAAAGCGAGGGTCTAAGTAAGACATAGGTTTTGAGGACAGGGGGTGTCCTATCCTTTACAGACTGTTAGCCACCTGAGGCAAATTCCACAATGCTAAATGTAGAGCTTATTAATCGATTACATGTACCAGGAGTTATAATTACTCCTGTTAATTACATGGTAATGAGTACCATGCTCATGTGACTGAATTTGTGAGCAGCTGGTAGGTGGGTTTGAGCCAGGTTTGAGCCAGGTTTGAGCGAGGTGGAGGTACACGTGCACGAGAACAAGGCGAGTACGAGGACGCACTCAAAGCTCTGTCACGTGTTCAACGTGCCGCCGATTGGAAGCGGAGACTCAGTAAACAGGTGACGTCAAAACTGCACCAGGCATCAAGTTATCCGCATCTAACTAACCCGGATGAGAGCAGACGGCATTCTCCTTCAAATTAAAACCATTTAACACATTCATTGTATGATCAAGTACGTCCAATAGGTGATGATTGTGGAAAGAAATCAATGGATAGTAATATTTGGTAGACTTTGTTTTAGTAGACTTTGTTTTTCCAGGTATTATGTTACAATCATTATATAATAACATAGGAAACTGTCTATTTCTTGTCAAAAATGGAAACGCAACCGTGTATACAAAAGTAACGGAACGTAATAAAATAATATTACTTTTATATTGTGATACTCCCTGCCTATTACCTAATGTTTTATATACTAATTCTTTATCATCATATGTTTACTAAATACAGAGACTTTGCTAAAACAATGCTTGTTAAACATGTATAGCCAACAAACAAAAGAAAAGCATGCCTGTAAAGGCAAAATAAGAATCAAGACACACAAGACATCAAGTCAAAGTCAAAGTCAGCTTTATTGTCAAAATTACTACAGTGTTATACATCCAGAAATCTCGAGATATCGTTTCCCGCAGTCCCATAGTATGAAATACATAAAACAAACAAAAAGGGCCTAGATAAACGGGGTATACAATTAAAAAAATATATATTTTATTAAATTGTATACCCCGTTATAATATATAGATAGTGCAAGTTCAAATACACACATTAATACATGTAGGCTAATATAAATGAGTGGTTGATAGTATTGCAATTGGGAAAGTGTATGTAAACAGATAAATAATACATATACACTGAGGTGTAAACAGTTTTTGAAACAGTAAGTGAAGTATCACAGATGTCTTTCACGGCTTTTATTTTATAATTCTTAGCCGGAAAAGCCGTTGTTAATTCTTGCTAGCTTGCTGCTGGTGTAGAGCCTAGCTAGGGGAGAGAAACCGTTGGAGAATGTAGAATACGTTTGACAAAAAACAAGTAAAGTTTAGGATTGATAAACATCTGGCAACGTTGCAGAAATAAACTGAACAGGTAGGTGAACCTCTTACATTTTTCCTGTAATTTATACTTGCTCGTCTTGGCTCCTGCTGAAGCCTGAAAAAATGGAGGTGAAGTGTGGGTCCATCATGAGGAGGATGCACACAACACTAAACAACAAGATCCACAACAACAGCTGCAGCAGCGACACTTACTGTGCATACCAAGTCCGAAGCATGCAATCCTAAAACAGACAGAGACGATTGCACAAATGGCAATATTGGTGATCAATAGAGCCTGGTCATTTAAGAGCTACAGTTGCTAACGTTGCAGTAGCTACAGTAGCATTAGTTAGCATAGATTTATTGGAAGCAGTTCACGGAGGGGTTGAGAGCTGCGACAATCCGAGGACAGCTTAGGTTAAGCAGATTGTTTTTATATGCTTATCTGCACATATTCAAATGGGCAATGTCTATGAACTCATAGTAGGACATCTTTAGTAGGAGGAATAATCTCACTTTTACAATGAGTGATATTTATCAACATTTTACAGCTAACCTTGTTTTGTGTCTTTTTTTTGACAGGTATCACCAGCAACTTGGCAACATCTCTTCTCTCCCCTGGCTCTCAAGTGTTTAGTGATACTGGCCAATTGATCATATCTTAAAGACACCCAGTGCCTCTACCTGATAGATCATTTCTTATCGTTGCATTTGCTGAAAACTAACACCAGCAGGACAGAAAAAACACAAGTTAGGACATTTTTCAAGCAAAGTCAAATACACCGCAGCTACCTGTTAATACTGTATTACGTCCAACCTTATCCAAGCTAAACCTCAAACTCTTCATTCATCAGCATTAATCAGTTTTCTCATCAGGTCTGGCTATATTAGAAAGTTATAACACTACTTTGCACCATTATGGCCTCCATTACCCAGTCATCTGAGCCTGAGATCCCAGACAACCACAAAGAAAGCTGGCTGGCACTTCTTTCTGCTGCAGAAACATATTGCCAAAAGTCTGGCTGCGACCTGGCCATACTTACAGCGTGTAAGAAGTTCCGGTCATTGGGTGGAGGTGAAGATGGGATGAGGAAACGGGAAAGCAGCAGTGCCTTTCCTAAGGAGTGTGATTTCTCCTACAATGTATGGGGTCAAGGGTTTCTTGCGGAGTCGGCTCGGCGCTACATGGATGACATTGGTGTGCTGCACTCCACCACCATGCTAACAGCCCAAAAGCACACACGCCAAGCGGGGGGAGAGAGAGGAACCAAACTGGTGGTTGACCTGACCTCTGACCTCGGACACAGAGGGGTGAGTTCCTGCACATTTTAGCTGTCACGATAGCTACGTTTGTTGGACTATATTTTGTCCCAGAGAGAAAAATATCCACACATCAATATACACAACCATGACAATAAATAAAATGATCTCTGATTACAAAAATAAGCAATTTCTGTGCTATGTCAATGTTTTTTTTTCTGATCATAATTCCATAGTTGAGGTCTACTAGAATAGATTTATATTGTGCAATTTTCCAAAATCACATTGGTTTCTCATACAGCATCTCTGTAAACTACGTGTATTCACTGAATTTCACTCTCTGCCTTTAACGGCTCGTTGTAGCTCCAATAGCTCCAGCCCCCACCCTCCCTGTGAGCACAGTGTGCTCTGATTGGTCGGGACGTTGTGAATCGCGCTGAGCTCCGTGGAGGTGTGGTTTCCTTGTTTAGCGACAGCGAAACACAGCCAAACTCACCCTGAGCACACACAAAGTCACAGCCGAAGTAAAAACAATAAGTGTGGCTTGATATTGAGTAAGAAAAAGGTTGATAAACGCTGTGAGAATGGGTCTGCAGAGAGAATTTCGCCGCGATCCCAGGGCGGACGGGCAGCGTCGAGGACTCAACATCTAACTGCCTATCGGACGCTTATTTCAGACAACAAACCTGGAACCTGAGGCGGAGGGAGGCAGAGGGACCTTCGAGACCTTCTTGTGTTGTTAGGTAGTACAATATATCTATATTTGTAAAAGTTACTCGAATTGTCCCGTCTTTTGACAGTGTTTATTAATGACGATAGTTGAAAGAGCATGTAGTCAAGAAACGACTGGAATATACGGGCTAACACAAATGTTACGCAAACAAATGTATTCTTACAGTGGTTATGAATTTCTGTATACTGGTTATGAATTTCCCCTGGATAGTGATGTGTAGTGTTGTGTTAGTGAGGCAAGAGGCGAGAGAAAGTGTACGAGGGGTAGTTTGGTTTGCGTAGTAGAAGTTTTGTGAGGGGAGGAGGTGGATAATTCGGGAAGTGGTTAGATCGGGGGGGATGGAGAGGGACTGGAGTAGTAGGGATGTTGGGGGGGTGTCGGAGGCTAGGAGGAGGTGCAGAAGAGGGAGTGCTCTATGAGTGTAGTATCTGAGTTTTGTAACCGTTGTCTCGTAAGAGGTCTAGTCGTGGCGGCGAGACCTTGAGGGAGGGGTTAGACTAGGCGGGTGAGAGGGTGTGACAGATTGAAGTTTTGGGTCGACTTTTGTATGGAGAAGAGGGTTCGGAAGTTGAATGGAGATAGGGGGGTTGCGTGACTGAAGTGAGAGATGGGTGCGACACATAGAGGAATAAGGTGGGTGCGACGTAGAGAATAAGTTGTAAGTAGTAGTTGAAAAAGAAAGGAGAAAAGGGTAAATACAACAGAAAAACGAGCAACAGGATACGAAACGAGGGGCGGGGACACCCAAAAGGAAACGGGACAAGTATTAACAAAGTTAACAAGTTAAAAAGAACAGGGTTATACCAACATGAAGACGGACAAGTGCGGGGAAAGACATGAAAAATTAACAAAAACATTCGCTGAAACCCAATAACTTTTCGGCGATTAATTTATTATTTACAATAATAATAATAATAATAATATAGTACGTTTACAGTGAAAAAATACAGAAAATATGTATTTATGAACCACAGGGGCCACACAGTTCCCTTGACGTGACGTTCAGCAGTCTTATTATTTTGGGAGAGAGAAAAGGACGGCATGGCAGTTTAGAGATCTTCTTGCCCCTACATAGTATGTCTACAGCGTTACGGTCTTAAACGGCAGGGCTATTTACTGCAAAATTATAGCCTTACACCTGGGTGCCGTGATAGTCTTTGTAACGATAGTCTTTTGTTTACGAGCTGACAAAACCTGCATTATACCAGCCACCAATGTAATCTTAGTGATTTGTGAGTTCTCGATTGGACATGACCTCTCCGGTACACAACTCTTCGGTCCCTTTATTTTTCCTTAAGTGGAACACATATTGGCCGTTCTCTCTTTTCGAAACTCGAGGTATGACAAAGTTCTTTATTTAGGAACTATTAAGTACTATACCGCAAAGTAGTGGCGTCATATAATCAAAATCTGTCATTGTTTGTGCCAGGTACTCGAGTCGGGGAAAAAATTACGAAATATGGAACGAAATATAATCGTGAAACTTTGTCCTTCACTTTATCGTACCTATATCCGTACCCGCATCTTACCCACTTAGACACAAACCCATAAAACTCGTTTTGTGAAGTATCTGTACAAAAATTATAAACAGTAACAATGCTGGGACCCAGGCAATCCAGTAAACACACATATAAAAAGGGAGGGAAGACACACACACATAACATACACATACACCACACACACACCACACACACTCGTTAGTCCACCACGGGCAATCGACTAATCGATTGGAACAGTCCGTACTACCCAGGTGGTACTCCTCTTGCCCTCGTAAAATTTCGACGGTCGGCACGTCAAGGAGACTCGAGAGAGACTGAGTTGAAGAGGATGAGGGTTGCGACGCTCACAATTCAAGGGTACAGTACGGTAAAAGGCCAATAATGGGCAGGGAAACACACAATACTTCCAAAAATACCGTACATTTGGCAGACGTCTCAGTTTTTGGGGAGTTTCATGTGGGACATCGCTCATTTTGAGATTGGTGTCTTTTATGGAGGGGTTTTTGCGGAGCAACCTCTATGCAGTGACAGGTAACTAAGAAAGTAACTGAGGAGTGTGTGTGTGAGTCACGTAACGTCGAGACGACTAAAGACGAGGGACCGACGTCGACTTA